TATCTATCTATCTATCTATCTATCTATCTATCTATCTATCTATCTATCTATCTATCTATCTATCTATCTATCTATCTATCTATCTATCTACATATACATATACATATACATATACATATACATATACATATATATATATATATACACATATGCTGAGGCTGCATCCTCTGCATATATTTCTAGCAGCTCCTGCCTCGTGGATTGCTAGATGATTACACCAAATAATGTGGTTGAATGACATCAGACAAAGCCTTTCTTATTTCAGCTTGTGCAGATAAAGAACGTTTCTAATTTTCTCTAATTTCATGTTTGCTCAGTAATTAGAGTTGCTGATTACCCAGCGTGGGCCAAAAACTTAGTTACACTTAAATGCACTTAAATGCCTCTGCTGTAGAAAAACTTCCCTTTCCTTTTTCAGCTAAAGAAAAGTCATAAACCACAAAGGGGAGAGCTGCTGTGAACAACCAGTAAACCCTTATGGAATCAGACCTGCAAAACATTTTGGAAATTTGCAAGCTGTGGCCTGGGCATTTCCTCAGGAAACTGTGGCAGGGAGCCTGAGGGTGGGCCATTTTTGCTGTTTTGTGGTTTTACACAATGCATGCATCTACAGCGTGTATTTCTGTAAGTGAGGAAATAGATGCAAAATACAAATCTAGACCACACTGGGGTTTGCTTTTTTTTTTTGTATTTATTTTGGGTTTTTTTAAACAAAAAAGTGTCTGTTTTGTATTTTTAAATACACACCTTTTAACTTCTCTTGTCAAACTTCACCTCTGAGGAACTGCAGAACAGGAATAGGACTTTCACACATCCCTCAGACCCAGTCTTATACGATCTGTTACACCATTCAATCTATTTTAGGTGGTGAAATGAGCTTCCCATTTTTATTTGTCTTCCTTCACCAACAGGCACAGCAGCTTCATAAATGGGACGTGCCCTCTGAGAAACAGGGGAAGAGCACCATAACTTTAATCGCCACACACACAAACACATAGAGGCCTACACACACACACACACACACACAAAACTGCACACACTTTTTTAGTACCAGACAGGCTTCACCGATTGCCAATGAGTCACAAACGGGTGCCACAGTGAGCACAGACAATGGCACAGTTACAATTACTGGACTGAAATGTGTAATGGCAGGCGCACCTGCAAAAAGCAAAGAGCCATGTGAACCAGGCCACTGCCAGAAAACAAAGAGGGGATTTGTTCTTTTTTTCACTCTTCTATCTTTTCTTTGTTCCAGTAAAAAACAAAAACAAGAGCGTTTCTGCGTAGGGTGAAACATTGACACTGTGCAGCAGCTGTGGCGCAGATCGGCTCTGACCTACACATAAACCTTCACGTTTAGATTTCAACTCTCACCACAATTCTCTGTCATCCTGCATCGTCCCTGTTATGTAGGACACATGCAGCATTAACTAACTAATGCTTCCACTTTCACACACTGGATCAGAAAGTGAAGAAAAAAAAGAAGAGGTAGAGAAACACTAGTGAGCGCTATCAAGGATTCAGTGACACAGGTTAGACGAGTTCAAGGTGGATGACTCAGGGCTATCAACAGATTAAGAGTTCATTTTAAAGTCATCATCGCAGCAATTTACTAAATCTGTACAAACCTGATGCTTCCTTTACATTTCTTGGGTTTTAAGTTAATCTACATCTAAAAATAGCAAACCATTTGCAGTAAGTTGTGCTCTCCTGCTCATTAAAAAAAAAAGCACGGTTATAACAGGCTACAGTGCTTGATGGAGCTTAGGGGAAGCCCTTTCGTAAGTTTTGGAGGCCAGCGGCTGAGTAACAATCATCGAACCTGACAGGCCTCTCCGGAGTGTTTCTGGGTGGAGCAGATGTATGGTTGTTGCACAGCACGAAGCATCACACTTAGTCCAACACTCAGATTCACAGTTGTGTTTAATAAAAAAAAAAAGGTGTGAACGCTCTTTTGCATGCAGCCATTTCTATATTAATGCAACACTTAACACCAGGCCTGTTTCTAGGTCATGAGGTTTGTGATCTGACTTTTATTTACCAGAATTAAGTATATGGGCTTCTTAAGCAGAAAATTCAAAAAGAACTGTTAAGATAAGCTTTGTTTTACCTCGGATGTGAGCCAAAACAATAGAATGGGAACACATAAGCGTGAGACTATCTTACAAAGTTAAAAAGCTTTCGCTTTATTTCACTGTTAGATGTGCCAGCGTGGCCAGTATGTAGGATGTATATATGTTCTCAAATGGTAAATGTAGTTTGTAGATCAGCAGCAGCGTTATCAGTTGAAAGTTTCCTGTTGTTTTCTCCCTTTTGATGTATTTCCTCTGTGCCATTCACGTTTGAGCTTCATTGTCCTGCAGTTAATGTGCTGCGTGTTCTTTTGCTGAGATGTGTTGACCTAAATAGATTGTTGTAAAGTTGTTCTTAGGTATCCGAGAAGTAGCAAAGTCATGTCTTACCGACTGATTGCCACTAAAGAAAACTAGTATTTTAAAAATGAAAATTATTTGTTGTTTTGTTGTTGTTGTTGTTGTTGTTGTTGTTGTTGTTTATGTGTGTGTGTTTTGTGAAACTCAATTCAAAACACATATTTTTTTTTAAAACAGACTGATACTAAAAGAAGCTACAACCTTTGAAAATTCACCATCCACAGCATTCAGTTAAACTCATGTTATAAAATAAAATAAAACTAGACCTCAGTTAGTTCTTTAGCTAACAATGTCTTTGTAAACAGAAGATTTTCACTTTCCCTTAAAGTGAAAGGACAAGAACAAGGACTAGCAGATGTTTTTCATGATTACTATGTTAAAAGTCTAAAAAAAACGAACTAGCATAGAGCTGCTAACATTGCTATAAGCCCAGACAGCATCAAGGATAAACTTGTCCTGTTTCTAGGTAAATAATACACGACTTCTTTAAGTGTGTGTGTCTGTTTTTAAGAGAAACATAATCTGGATTCTCCAAAAAAATGTTATTTTATGATAAACTACTTAACCTTGGAAGTAATGTGTTGATTTTTAAGCTAGTTAGCTTGAGCTAACTTGAGCCTGCTAAAGCTTTTTTATACTTTTATCAATTTCTCACACTTTTGCTCATGTTTGACTTGTTTTAGAGGAGTTAAAACAACAAAACATGTTCTTATATCTTACAAATTACACCTCACAGGAAACCTGTCATTTGAACTGGTTATTGTCTGACTAGTTAAAAGATATTAAGCTAATGCAACTTTTGCGATTAACATGAACTTGAAATGATAGCATCTCTTCTGAAGTAACCAGCTGTAAGTGTGTTAATGTTCTTCTGACTGGCAGCTTTGGCGAAACTAAAAGCTAGCCGTCGCGGTTTTCTGGGCTGTTTCACAGATGTCGTTCTCATCACTTAACACCAGCATTCGGAGCCTTGCTTATAACTCAAAGATGCTTCTTTAGACCCAAAGTACAACTCTTTACTGCTAAGATGACAGAGAGGGTTATTCCTAAAACTCTCAGTGATCATCAGAACAGAGGTTTAGCAAACAGTCAGCAAATGTCATCACTGCACATAACTGTAGATTTTTATTTAGTTGTCAATATTCTATATGAACAAATGCCCAACAATAGCACGCTGACTAACAAAGCAGCAAAGTTAGTCATTTGACAGCCCAAATATCTCCCATAAAGCTCAGTGGTTACAAGAAGACATAACCTGAGAGAACTGTACCCTCCTCCACGTTTTCTCAGGCTGCCATCAAAGCTATTTAAAGGTTCCCACACACAGTGCAGTCCTGGCTTTCTTTGGCCTCTTCAAACACAGCTCGCTTTTCTATTCTTATTCTGCTGTTAGGTTGTAACTCTTCATTCGTCTCACAGGGTGAAGTTAAAGTTAAAAAACAAAACAAAGGGTACCTCGTGACCTTTTTTACTTGCATTTCCCAACAGAAAAATTTGTTTTAGTTGATATTTGAATCATTTCTGACTTCTCAGAGTCCAGTGTCTGACTCAAATTTGAGTATAACAACATGAATGCAGTTCAGAGAATTCATGAATTTTTAGTCTTAAAACTGTTTAAAAACTGTTTGTTCTTGTTTTGTTTAACATATATATGTCTGTAGAAATTCCAAAACTTGTAAACATCTTTTCCTCCTGTCACATTGTCTGTTCTGTGCACAGCTGGAGCCTCCGTGTCTGTTTTCATTGTGTCGGAGAATTCCAGTGTTGAGGCTACGAGTGCGCTTTTCCTGGCTCTTCACGCCTTCCTCCCGAAGAATCGGAGAAGGTACCAAGCGTCATTCTGCCACCAGTGCACTCCACTCTAAGGTGGGTGTGCCTGTTTTATTTTCCCATGACATCACTGTTTTGTTTTTTGCTGTTGATGTGCTGTTTTGGAACACTGTGCATGTCTGGACAACAAGTTACCTCCCTGAAGAAAATATGGCCGTGCTCCAGGACTATATATTACTTGGAATTGGCAAATCTGCATGCATGTTTGTTTGTAAAAAAGTCCTTATGCATGCATGAAACTCTGATGTCAGGAGTTGTTAACTTAACTTAGAGCAACTTCCTTTTTAATGCAAATCCTAATTTTGTATCTATGGTTTGCAGCGCTCTATTTTTGCATATAAAACCTCACTTTTATTTTACCACTCAAAAAAGTTTCCCATGATCACTTAGGTTGTGTTTCTTTCTCTTTTGATGCCTTTTGTTTCAGTGGGCATTAAAAACATTTTCACCAAAAGACCAAACCTGTCCCTTCCGGTGCTATCCACCGGTCCTGTGTCGAGAACAGCAGCAGACAGTAATGGGTGGTTAACCACATAAGGGTTCACACTTTGCAGTAAATTGCTGTAAATCAGCAGACCTTAGAATTACCCACTCAGTACAAATTAAATCAAGTATAATGATTCAGAGGACACATATTTAACCTTCCAGAGCCATGCACACACCACCCCCACCTCTCCTTTAACCCTTTTGCTATTTTTCCAACTAATTATGACTAAAACGCTGCTTTCCTTGGGATTTTGGAAACAGTCCAATGGGATTTTTACAAGTCCCCATGAAAGATGAGAAGTGAAAAGAAAAGGAAGTAACACAACTTGCCATGCATTTTGACAGGAAGTCATTATTTACTAGTTTTGGTCTGCGTGTGTGGGGGGTAGGAATGACGTGGGTGTCGCTTAACCCACTTGATTTTACTGCTGATACATTTGATCTTAAAAAAATCCCCTTGTAATGGACTGGCTGCTTCCACGGTAGAGGAGCTCTTTCTCTTTCTCTCTTCTCCCTCATGCAACGACGACTGGCTGCTGGCCTGATGGACATGATGGAGAGCAAACACCGGCCAAATCCCCTTACACAATGTTGCAATTCCCTCAGTGTTTGTGGTATTAACCAGAATCACTTGAAAAGCAATTAAGACTGCATTGTTTCACAGAGTGATACCACTGGCATGCCTTGTGTGTCTAGACACAGAGATAGAGCTATCTAAATTACTGCCTGATTTCTTGTGAAGAAGAGAGTGGGATTCCTGAGCCCTATTGTTTTGGAGGACAGTCCAAGGCCTTGATGTGGGCTCTGGGAGCAGATAAAATACCTAGAGACGGATGTCTGTGTGCTCTCTGTGTGCTCATTTATTGAAAGCAGTTGAGGAAACATATGGGCTCTCTGACCAGCGATGAGCTCCCATGGTTTCCTCTGATTGCACAGGAAACGGGGCCGGTACATACTGTAAGAGCTGCTTATTCAAAATTCACAAGTGCTATTCGGCACTGTGACTGACAAAAGTCTGTGTGCGCGTGCAGAAGCCACAGAGGCAGGGAGTGTAAACAGTTTGGAAGTCTGCGGCCTGAGGTCAACCAGGATCAAGGCGAGTCCTCAAAAAGCCCGTAAACAGTCAGAGTAGGTTTGTTTTCAGCTTGTGTCCAAACAACGAATGACGCGGCAGCTGGGAAACTGAATTTGATTCATCATCCGCGTGACGCAGTGAGACGAGCTTGAGCTTAAGAGCGAGGGGACGTTACTGGAGAGACCTAAGAATAGGGGCCCGACAAAAGCGCATCATCCAAGAAAACAACCCGAAAAACACCCACAGCTTGTTTGTTTATTGAGTAAAATAGCAGCTTAATCTTTCTCACGGAGGAAGCGCTCATTCTTATCATCACTCTATCAGCTAAGCATCTATGGAGAGGAAAGGGATCTCCTTTGCGCTTTCACACCTTAAATTAAATCAGAAGGCTTTTGAAGACTCGTGGCCAAACCGGGAGTGAGAAAAAACGAGCCTGGCTGCCCTTGTACCCATTACCCCACGCCTCCCACACACATACACTCATAGCCCCTTATCACAGTTTGTCATCGAACACTCATATCCTCACATTGTCCCAGAGGAAAGCTGACCTCCCAGCTGTAGATATAAACTCGATCTAGCCCTCGTGTTCCCCCTCATCCTCCTCCTCCCTCTAATGAAGAACAGCCACAGGGTGACAGGGCACGAACGCTGCACTCTGAGGCAAAAAGCTGTTTTCGGCCTCTAAAAAGTGGGCTTTCCAAAGATCTAAAAAAAAAAGCTAGCCTTCCCCAGCCCAAGCTGATGTTTTCCTCAGACTTGGGATGCAGCTGTGGCCTTGCGTGACGTCCACGAGGAGAGGATCGACGGGAAGGTTGTGAGGTCAGCAGAGGGCGTTCGCATAGGCACCGGCCCAAGTCTGGAGAAAACACTCCTCTTGTCACCGCGGAGATGGAGCGAGAGACTCACTTCTTTCTTTCTTTCACTATCTGTGTGGTTTCACTCGATGTGTTTGGCTTCACTGCTTTTGTTCTTTTGCTCGGAAGTTTACTGTGAGCTCTCGGTAATCCATCACTGCTTTTATCGACAGATGCGATCGTTCACTGATTAAAGCAGCGCTGCAGGCGGCTCATAATGAGCTCACATTCAGTTCAGTGATATCCGAGGGCAGTGATATCAGAGTGTGTTAGTTGACGCCATACTTCTTTTTTATTTTTTTTTATTTGTGATCGCGGCATTCGAGGTGAAAGCAGATGCTTGTATTCCTCCTAGTTGAGTCTTAAAAGGAGCGTGTATGCATTTGTGTGTTTAAATACACCACACACACACTTGCTTATTTACGACTAACTTTACTTGTTAAGACAGTTAGTCCTCTTCGCTCTAGCTTTACACGAGTACAGCTAAACACACCATGCCCTGCAAACCCTGCTGAGTCCTGTGGTTAGCATTGTGGTAAGTGTGGGGCCAGCTGGCAAGGCTATCACGTGGGCATCTTTTGCTGGAATCATATTTGGGTCATTTCTTGGTAACAGCTGATAGCTGATACCCCTCATGTTTATTTTCATTTTACTTATTAGCGCCACAAATTGCTGATATTGTAGATCTCGGTGTGATACAATGGTTTCTTGAGCCCCTAGATTCTGGTGTTGTAGAGATGCAGATCATGCCATACACACAAATGCAGGAAGTAGTATACAAGCATTAAATGTGAGTATGTGTTGGGACTGAATTAAACTTTCTCAAAATTTAACTGAAGGTATCATAGAAAGAACAGACACAAAAAAGGACAATTTGTTTGTGATTAAAAAACATTACAAATATGTATACATAGTATAGGGAGAGGGAATGTAGCCCTAGTTATTATATACTGTCCTTTAAAATGAAATTTTGAATGAAATGTTTTGGGGGGTTTAAAGTTATTTAATAGTTTTATATAAAACTGGATATTGTTCAGATAATTTAATCAAATATCAGAGTTAGGTTGATTTGGTCAAGTATTTATATCCATAACCTATTTTTCAGCTGACCAGTATTTTTAGGTACTGCATGCCAGCACTTTACTCCTTGTAGGTCACTCCTTGGCAGCCAGTTTTCACTCATTTATATCAACAGTTTCACTGCTTTCCTGCTCACATGCACAAAGGTCATATCTTTTAGGCTGTCATGTGACAGTTAAATGGAAAGATTGTGATTAATGCCTCTGTAAAAAGGAAACTTAAATTTCTTACGGAAACACTGTGATAATAATAAAATATTTGTTTAAATGATAGCATCCTTCTGAGTCTTTTTTATTTTTTTTTGGTAGGTACATTTTGCATCTCTATCACATGCAGGCATTCGCGTTATTTTGCAAAGAGCGCAGTGATAAGAATACATTTACTGTGCATGTGAAACTTTGTGTGTTTGTTTGTGTTTGTGTTCAAAACGTGTCTGTGCAGGACGGGCAGACTGTGGGTTCGCAGCTTTCTTGTGAACCACTCGTCCGACAGTGTGAGTTACCGTTTGTCACAGGAAATGAAAGGCAAAAAAATAAATAAATAAATAAACAAAAAAAATCATAGTGTGAATTAAAAAAAAAGTCCTAACTACACAATTCTTTTTTCACAGCCTTTCTAAGGCCTGTTTGTCTGTTTCGGTTTTAGGGTTAAAATCATACGTCTTGTTATGGTTAGTGGAAGGGATTTAAGATTTAGCTGTAAGCTGGTTGGTAGAGTTTAGAGGTAACAGACTTTGGGAAAACACTGGAACCACAGCAGAGCTTTAGCCAACATGTGAGAACTGCTTGTTGAGAAGACCTTAAATTTAACAGGTATGAGCACGCAGGGTTGAGGTTCTCTTAATTTACTGTAAACCTGTATTTTTCATTTCTTCTGGGGAGACTCTGCAGACCTGGTGATTCCTGATAAGATAAGTCAGCTAGCTGCAAACAAGTCATGTTTCTCTTCCAGCAGGGCGTCTGCATCTTCACTATCACTCCTCTTGTCTTGTATCATAGTTTCCCACGGATCGTGGGACTTAACAGGACTCTGTGCTTGCTAAATATGGGGATTACATTCTAAAGTAAACCGTGGTTGATTAATGCTCAGTGGAAGGCCGAGAGATTACCAAGGCCGCTATCTACGAGGAAAACAATGAGATAAAGACACAAAGAACAAGAAACAGAGCAACGGTGTGAATGGTGTCAAAAAGATATGTGCGCACTTACTTTCTGCCTGTAGTTATTTTTTTCTCAAGTGATGTAAGACCTGGCCTCGCACTGTATTTGGATTCCCATCATCATAGTTGTGATATTAACAGACCCGATGTTTCTTCTTTATAAGAAAATGCATTTTGGGGAATAGCTGATGCCTGTGAGATGTTAATACATCAGACTGTGGGAACCTGTGTGTGCCTGAATCATAGCATTATGATATTAGACATCAACAGCTGAGTAATAAGTGACAGCTAAGACGTGGCAGACGTGGCCTTGTAGAAAAATGTCCTTGTGTGAACTACTCACACCCCAGTAAGATTCCTAAAACTGAGTTAAAAACAGCTG